TTTTTTTCTTGAAGGTATGAAGCAAAACCTTAGATGTGTTTAATCTAATCTGTTTAAGAAATTCAGATTAAAATTAAGGGGGCACATTGCATATACTTCCACAAATATAATATTACCATCTTTGAGTAGGTTGGCCACATCCACGACGGCATATATGGTCGTTGTACCAAACGGTGTAGTGGCATGGAGTGCAGTCGCCTGATGCTTTCAAAGTAGTCCAATACCGACCTATGTTATTACCGTTGATCCATATTTGACCTTTGCCCATGGTTTTCATGTCTAAGGCCAAGGGATCATTTCCAACATGAGCTTTGAAAGTTGTCTTATACCATGTGAAAGCTTTTGATACACTTGTATCTGCAGACCATTGAACAGAAGAACTTCCACTTTCTGTAGAAAGACCCAATTTTTCTCCATGCATACCAATCTGATGAAAAATAAAAAACACGAAATAAATTAAACACAAAGGAACGTAGAGTATTTATCCAAGTTCGACGAACTACTCACCTTGTAAGTCCAAATTTGATGTGTTAAATCTCTTCTTCCCTCGTTAAGACCGTCTAGTGAAACACTATAAACACCAAGTTGCCGATTTTCGAAATTCAGGCCGATATTCTAATCTCATGTCCAAGGAGAAACAAAGTTCAGAGTTAATATCATGCATTGTTCCAAATAAATAAAATGTTGTTGTATTTAAATCAATTTTTTTTTTTTCTGTTTTTCTTTTTTGGTGTGTTTAGAAAGATGACCAACCGGGAGACCAACAGCTACGCTTAGCAAGCGGATTTCGTTGTGCCCGACCTTTAGATTCACGGCTTTTGTGAAAGCCACTTTGGGGTGACCATAAACTCCATGGACGGTCTCTGCAAGAAATTGCACGAGTTGCTTTTCAACATGATATTACTAAGCCAATCTGAGCGTCATGAACATTCATAATTTGCATGCTCTCATAATCTTGATCATACACATGTTTATATTTTTGTTGATGGTCGTGTGGTCAAGAAGTAGGCTAATGTGCACATTCATAATTTGCACACTCCTCTAATCTCGATCATTCGTATTCTTGGTGATGACCGTGTGGTCAAGAATTAGGCAAATGTGCAAATTATGAATGTTTACGAAGTTCGAGTTGCATTTTACAACGAAAAATACAATAGGCTGCAAAATAGTACGAGTTGGATTCAAATCATCTCTTGACGACCTTCGCTTTGACATTCATATTACATATATAATAATTATATCTATGATAATATAATTAATTTATCTGTTAAATATTAATTAAAAATTAATCAATTATATAAATTTATATATAAAGCTATTATATGATACGAGTTAAAAAATATATTATAATATAAGACAAATAAACTCTAATAAATTTGTATAATACGCGTGTATTGTACTAACTATTGTAAAAAGATAAATGCACCTTTGCAATCTTCAACGTTAGAAACACTATATATCAAATACTAACCTACTAATATTCCATTAACGAAAACGTGCAAGACATGGCCGCCGGACATGACCGTAAGAACCGGCTTCTTCCGGTGACGGAGAAATCCTTCTTTCCCGTCAATATCCACGCTGCACATTCAATGTATTATGCATAATTAATAGCCTAATATATTAAAAATGTGAATAGCAATAACTTGTGCTGCTACACTTACTCTATTTTGCTCCATAAATAATCGGTCGTGTCCCATGTCAAGTCGAGCTGGTCGACCAGTCCAGGCTTCGTGAACGAGCCATCCTCGTCATAAATGTTTTCGGTGTACGACTTCCATTCGAATTTACCCGTCACACCCGTCATCTTCATTCTTGAACTTGGAGCACCAATCTGACCAAAAAAATATATTTTATAACAAAATATAAAAATTATTAAGATTCTGAAATGCTATATTTTCAATTAAAAATGTTTCAATTTGTTATACTATTATTCACATTAGTAATTAAACATGTCATGCTCTGTTCCTGATTTTCGATCGATATTTTTGCGTACCTTTGCGGTGTTATAGACAACGTGCTTGCAATCGGGGAGAATGCTTATAGACCAAGGAGGCAAAATGTATGAAACACTCTCGAATTTTACGGTTGCTCTCGATTGTTGGTCGTAGTTTGCAAGAAAAGCCGCACAAGTCTTGGAGCTCGATTTGAAAACATGAGCCTGTTTGCCATATTCAACTAATTTTCATTTCATTTGCCATCATCTTAGACAAAAGCAAAGATTAATTAACAAAAACTTACAACTAACCTCTTGATTTTTTCCGAGGGACGTAACCTTGGGGTCGACGGATACAAGAGCTCGCTCACAGAGCTTTATTGCTCTGTGTAGATCTTTTAGGTGGCCCCATTTAGACTGCCTTATTAATCCTAAAGGAAAAACACTACTTTTAAACTTACTGAACTTGTGAGTTAAACTCTGTAAATCCACATGTGTATGTATGCATACCATACTCATCGATGGGTGCATCATAGTCGTAACTAGTCGCAATAAATGGACCTCCGGCTGTCCTGCCAAAGTTCGTACCTCCATGATACTGCCGAAAAAAAAATATATGAAATTGAGTAATAAATTGCACTCACATATATAGTTAGTACTCCTTGAAAAATTAAAATTTTACCATATAATAGTTGATAAACGATCCACCCTTCTGAATGAATTTAGCGACCGAAAACGCCAGATCTTGAACCGGGCGGCTTGGGACTGCGTTACCAAATGAAGTAAACCTATAAAAGAAAATAACAATAATAATAATTTCATAAGTTTCATGTTCATTAGACTAAAGTTTTGAACTGTTTTACTTTTACCAGGAGGTCCAGGCTTCGGTCCACATCGTAGGCTTGTAAGTTTGTCCGGGAGAGAAGTAATCACAATAGTAACCATTGCAGGTATTAATCTGCAAGATATGTAAGAAACATGTTACAACTCAAGACAAACTATGATTATTGCATGAATTTATGGTATGTTAAAATTCTTTATCCTAAAACTCACAAGTGAGGTAAAAAGTACTTACGATTGGGTCGGGAGCATCATCTTGCTTGCACATAACCCATGGAACTCCTGTTCCGAGACCCACAGCCATTTGGGCTGCCCATTCGGTGTACTTTTTGCCAGGTTCGTTCATCAATCGTTCGACTGGTCCGTATTCATTCTCAATCTATTCACATTACATGAAGCAAACGAGAATATCGACTTAATTAACGGCAAAATGTGGATGGCTAAAAGCTAAGAGATCATCGGCTAACAAAGTCGTGCAAGATGCTTACTTGAGACATTATGATCGGACCGCCTTGAACTTGAAACAGACCTTCGGCTTTCATCATATCTACAATCTTCTTTGTGAAAATTTTCATTTCATTCTTTGTATATCGTTACCGCATTTTCAGGTACCGGAAAAAAACGAAGCTCGAAATCAGATACCATTTTGCTAATGAAAAAAAA